TTTAATACATTTATCTTTCCAGAAAACAAACTTTGCCTCCAGAAGTGTGGCACTAGCACACATTAGGGCATTGGATGCTTCAGGACACTGCTAATAAGCTGCAGCGTCTTTCACCTACGGGTCATCAGTATGATTCCAGCCCAGCCTTTTGGGGATTAACAGTAGGAGTGCAGGGAGGAGGAGTGACCCTGGTACTAAATCACAACTTCATCACTGCACTTTGTGCTAACAGATTTAGCACAGAAGCCAGCGACTGTGTTGTCTCTGCCTTGCTCCCTGATGGAGACTGGGACAGGCTGAGACAGGAGGGGACAGTCACCCTGCTCCTGCCTGGAGATGAAGCCATTGGGATAGCACTTATGCTGCTTTATGATGGAGGGTGTTAAGAACTGACTTGATATCAGTATATGAGTTAGTGGCAAACATGCAAATGAGCTCATTAAAAGGTACAAGTGAAATGGATACACAGAGCACTGAATGTTATGCTGGCAATTTCAATGGACCTCCGAGACCATGGTCATTATATTCACATCATCCTGGGGACCCATTTGTGTTACTGGGTCCTCAGTATAATGGAGCAACAGTTGCTGTGTCATTGACCATGGTGGCTTTTCTCCATCCAGTATTTCTTCTCATTTCCAGATAAACTTTCCAAGCAATTGGAAATCTTTTCATACTTGAGGGGTTTAACTGAATGAGAAGCGGAATTGTCAGTCAGAGGAGGATGGGAGGAACCTCTGTCTTCCCTTAGACAGACATGAACATCTCAGCTTTAGAGACCCAGGTTGTTTAAGTGGTCTTGGTGGTGGAAGGGAGTTGGATGTTTTGCTTAACCCGGTGCAAGCAGTCTCAGGGCATGTGGAGCAGAAGCCCAATGTCCTTTGCTCAGCCGTGCCACCTAGGGGGGATAAGGGAGGCAGCTTCCAGCCACCTTCTCCATCGGAGGAACACAGAAACCTTTTGTCTTGTGTGTGTGTTTTGTTCTCTAAATAACTGCCTATAACAAACTTCTCTTTCCTTTTTTCCCCCCTCACTTTTTTTAACATTCAGAGACTTTTGGTAAGTTTGTTCAATTAAAAACCAAAAAAATCAAACCAAAACCCCCCAAACCTGCTGATGTGCAGATTTGTAACCCTTGCCCTAAACTAATTCCTTTGTAACAGCTTCTTGAGAGGCATGCTATGCATTTCTTGTACTAACTCTTTCAGTAAGGATATTCTGCCCTCTTAATGAATTTCTGCAGGGGTATTGCAGGCTACAGAAAGAATAATAATCATCCTAATTAATATATGTGTATAAAGAGATAACAGCTAAATATGAACCTCCTAACATTGGATAGATGTCTTTTGGTATGTTAGCAACAGTTGTCCTGGAATTCCCCAACTACACAATAGCTTGTACCCCGGAACTGTGATAATTGTGTTCACACCTGCAGGAGGTCTTGGAGTTTCACATCTAACAGGGTTATTGGTGTTCTCAGAAGGGAGAGTTGGGGGGCAGCATGTTCAAATTGAAGCTGTAAATCACAGGTCATCAGCTATGGGAAAGGGCCGTGCAAGGGAAAAGCAGCATCATGTATGTGTGTGTCCGATCATCTCCATCCCTTGAGGAGCTGGAGCCTCCTGCAGAACTCACGTCACGTTTCCTCTGGGTGCCAAGGCCCCTTTTGTTATTGGAGATGTGGCAGTTGCAGCTGCCAGCCAGGATCCAGCACTGTAAAACTGCACAAGACCCTGGATGATTGCTCGCTTGTTTGGCATAGAAAGCTCCCTGCAGGCCTGGGGAGAGGAGCACAGCACACACATGTGCTCACACATGGCCTGACAGAAGGTGGGGATGTGTTTTCTGTCATTACCATGGCAATGGTGACTGTCCTCCTCTCCCTGTTTTCAAGGCTTGGAGAATCCATAGGCAGCTTGATGTGGGGGAAGTCAGAGGCAAGGCTGGTGGAGGAGCAGATCCCATCCTCTGTGGCAGCAGGGAACACCTGCACGTGGTATTCTACCTGGCACCATCTCGGTCCTTTAGAATCCAGAGGAGAGTCCTTTAAGCTGCCTTTTGCTGCTGAATGCTCTGTTGGCCATCTGGGTTCATACAGCCTCCAGATTTGCCCTAAATAGGCACATCTCTGGCTCCCGGGAGGCTGTGGAAGGCAATATGAATATTTGCATGTGACATCCCAAAGCTTTTCACTCAGGAAGGCAGCATCCAGTGCGAGTTCCTCCTGCTTTAGTTTTTCTGCTCTGGCCAGTGGTATCCTCATGCATTTGCTCCTGCACTGTTTGGGACACCAGGCAGGCAGCTACTGAACACAGGTGCCTCCCCTCCACCACCACGACGCTGTATCAAATCTTACAGGACCTGCCAGTGTTCTTCAGAGTGATGAATCTATTTCATATCCTCTTCTAGCACCATTCTGCTGCCCCTGTATTGAATATGAAGCTGGTTAGATGTGAAACTCCAACAGTGAAAATCTACCATCTGTGTCTCTGCCACCATTCAAACTGCTCTTCTTTCCTTGCAAGTGACTCGATCTCATTCGGGTTCAGACTGTGTCCCCTCCATCCCTGGTGTGGGGCATCTTGCAAAACATGGTTTGCTCCTCACCTCCGTGTCCTGTGTGCCAGAGTTAGAACTGGAAGGACCAAGGTGGCATTGCTTGGCTTCCCTGGCTCTCCAAGAGCACTGTCTCCAAGAGCTGCTGCCAACCTATTTCCAGGAGCATCGCTGATGCTTGGAGGGAACAGGGGATAACTAATCTACAGCGACACGAGAAGGCAACGCCTGCTGTTGTGTCTGTGCTTACACAGCTCGAACTTCCAGCGTGTTTCTCCTGTCAATTAGAGTGAACCTTTGCAGGAAATTGCCAGGCTTAGCCAAGGCCAAAGAAGCTTTATAGCAATGGGTGACGTTGGGGTCTCCTCCCCTCCTCTACCCACCTCCCAATAGCCTTGTTCCAGGTTTGTGCCACAGATGGCAGATTTTCACTCCGGTTCTGAGACAGAAGGATGTATCTGAGGCTGTTTGTATTTCGACTGAGTTGAACTATAACCCTTTGCTGCTTTCTCTCTCTCTCTGTCTTGCTTTTTAAAACCTTCCTGCCATCTCCTGTCTGGAGATCTGCCCAAGTACACGCTCCCCACACCTCTTCCAAGCGCTGCCTTTCCAACCTTTGTCCTGACAGCTAACCAGCCTGCTTTATTAACCTTAGCTAGTTCCTAACCCTAACTAGATGCTAACTTTTCTCTAGCAAATAACCTAACCTCTTAACTAGAAGCTGAGTATAACTAGAATCTAATATCCTAACACTGTAATACCTCTCTTCCCTCACCTCCTTTGAAAAATAAAGGTGAACTCTAATCAGCATCTACATCTTTTTACCTTCTATCCTGAAAATGGAGGATTGAACCGCAGCCCAAGAAGGATGAGCAGGGCTGAAGGATAAGGAGGGAAGGGGTTTTCTGGTGGTTAAGGCAGAAGATTGGCATTCAGGAGGCTTTCACTCCTGTTCTTGCCTCTGCCAGACTTCCCTCTGTGACCTTCGGCAAGTTGCTTCACCTCTGCCTCGGTTTCCCCATCTGTAAAGCGGGGTAATAAAGCTGCTGTACCTCGCTGGGGCAGAGGAGAGACCAGCATAAGGCTGGTATCTACCATGCAATGTGCCCTGCTGGGAGGTGCTGCAGAGCAACAGCACTGTCACCAGTGCAGAGAAGCTTCTGCATTGCTCCTTTATAAGAGGCAATACTTGGAATTGCGGGATCTGCCCTGTTCTCAGGATTGGGGTAAAAACCAACCCCGTCTTTGATAAGCTGTGTGACAAGTTTCAATGCCACTGTGAGCAAAAGGACCTGCCGGGTTTTCAAAGGAAGATGGTTGCAACCTCAGGAGCTCAGACTGGGGGACAGTGATTTTACCATTGCCTGGGGCTGGTTCACCAGCCACGGTGTCACTTCCTCTCATCTCTGAGACCTGCCTAAGCAGGAGACATAACTGGAGGGGGGTTGAATAATAACCCAGGGGAGATGCAGTCAAAAGTGTAGCAGGACTCTTCTCCCTGCACACAACCCCCTCCTCCACTGGCTCTAGGGAGGCTTCCTGAGCAGTTGCATGAAGCAGCCCTTTCACTGGAGTAACGTGGCCTTCTTCAGAGCAGAGCATCTGGCTTCAGTGTCTGTGAGGAACCACTGAAGGAGAACCGAAGGTCCTGATAAGGACAAGCATTGCATTCCTCACACATCTGTGCCAGTAACTCAAGTCTGGAACTGGGAATTTGTTAGCAAAGGTGGGATCAAACCTGCAATTCTTAACATGATGCAAGGTCCCTGGATATCCCTTTCCCTGTCTGGGCTAACACGGCCATAATGCCAACCCTTTTCTCTAGGAGTGGTGAAGGTAAATGCAGGTTCATCATATGTTCTGCAAGTAGCAAACAGTGATGTTAACTGAGAGCTTGGAGATTTTCTTTGCATTCTTAGCACCAAAATGGAACCAGGCTTAAGAGTTTTCAAGCCAAGTGCCATGGAGGCTCTGTGAAATACCCCGAGCCCTCTTCAGTCTGTCCCCATAATTTCAGATGAGGTAGAACAGGAAGTTTCCTACTGGGAACTGTCTTCCTTGACTCAGGTCCTTTTCCCACGGGCAGTGCCAGTGGTTGGGGTTTGACAGTCTTTTCACTCACTCTCTTTGTTTCCTTTGCAGAAGGTACACCGATCCGAGGTAAGACACCCCAGCTCACTCACTCACCCACTCTCCAAACACTTCTCTCCACTCAGTTCCTGCTTCATTGACCTGTGCTCAGTACAGATTCTTGTTGTTGTTGTTGTTATGTTTTCTTGTCCTGCTTCACCTCTGGGTCTTTATTATACCTGTCTTTATTTTATATATGGTTATAATGTCCTCTTTTGTTTGCTGGGTGCACTTGGTAATACTGATACTGTTATTCTAATAACATCTCAGGCTGTGCTGCCTCAGATTTATGGCAGAGTTTTAAGAGCTAATCTCTCCAGGACTGTGAAGGACTGAAGTTTATCTTGAACATTAAATGCTATCAAAGCTTGGGAAATACTTAGGACCTTCTCTTGGTTGGTGCAAAGTGCTCCCGAGCCACTGATGGTGGTGGAGGTTTCCCAGTCCTTTGCTCAGTCAGATCTTCAGCACTTACCATCTCCGTGTACTCATTTGTTTGGCTTCAGAGCCTTCTTTCCCCTTCCTCCCCACTCTCCTACCCCTAGGTTTCCCTGGGAAAGATACCCATGGTAAGTAGCTTCTGCATTGTCTCTTTAATGGAGCTAAAAAGATACTAGCCCTCAAGCGGTCACAGAAAGTCAGAAGGAATTGGGTGTGCGCCCCTTGGAAGACATGCTTTGGGTTTATCTGCACTGGCAAATTCCAAAGTCCGTAGTTCTCTGCTGGTAAAAGCAAAAGGAGGTGCTGTAGGTGGTGGGATTTCCTTTTTCACACGTCGTCTCTATTGGCTCCTGACAAGTGCTGAAAACTCACTGACCTCTCTACAGTATCACTGCAACCACTGCATTCACCAGCAAAGCTGCAGCAGTAAAGATGAAAGGGGTGAGTTCTTGTTCCCCTGCAGCTCCTGCTCTACAAAGTAGCTTCATCTCCCCTTGGTGCTCTCAGACAGGGGATGCTCATGGGCTGCACACACAATTTGGAAGCAGTGGAAGCAGCCCCCAGTTTGTCCAAATGAACAGAAGTTTCCAGAAGAACTCTCTGGCCAGCTCTCCACCACAGTGCAGCTTCCAATGACAGAGCATGCTGGAGCTGTAATTCAGTATGAAATGTGCTCAGCTGGTGTCTCGGTGGGAAGCTTCGGCCTATTTGGTCTCTAACTCCTCTTGTGCTGAAATAGCCACGGAGTCTGCTGAAACGAATTCCATTTGCTTTAGTGGCTTGGGTGGGGTTGCGTTGGGTTTTAATTCTCTCTGCTCTGCCTTTGGGAGCTACGAGGCACAGTGCATGCTGGCACTGTCACCCCCCGTCCCTGTCACAAACCCTCTCACACATCACATCTTCCCACACAGCATCCTTTGTCACCCATGCACACAGAGAGGAACGTGAGCTCCACATCCTCCTCATGTGAACACACTGGGTTTTCCTTCCTGAAGAGGCTGTGTCTGTAACCAACAATGAGACCATTTGCACTTCCCTCACTTAAGATTTTATCAGTAAGATTACACCGAGCTGGAATTGTTTGGTTTTCATATTTAGGGGGTATTTTTTCCAGAGATGGAAGTTTAAGAGTCTTACTACATACGAGCTCTGTCCATATCTGTAGTATAATCATGTACTCCTAATACATAAAACATTTGATAGCCTGTTGAATTATTTATATAGTATGTATTTTAACTGGAGTTTTGCAGGGATGAAGCCTTCTGAGGTAAATGAGGCAATTTTCTTCCATGTAGTTACATGCTGCCTATCTCTACATGTTTGCTGACAGGAGTGTTTAGTGGGGGCTCTGGGTATAGTCTTGTAGGCTGCAGTAATGTACAGGTTTAAGAAAAAACCTTAATCCTTTCGTCCAGGCAATTTTGAAGTTCCAATGCAGTATTTACAGGGTTTTCCCTTGGGAATATTCACTAATAGTAAGGTGCTTTTCACATGGACTCTTCTCTCCTGTAGGCTTCCTGTGAAGCGGATATTTAGGCACAAAACAAAGGTAGCAGAGATAAAAATACTCCAGGGATCCTAGGCAGGGGTGACAAAAGCTTTTACAGTCACTGCTTCAAACCAAGCAAGGGAAAGTCAGCTGCCTTCTGAGGGATTTCTGGGGATCCTGGTAATATGGATTATTGGAGTTGATTCCATGAGTTCTGGTGCAGAATGCCTGCATTGCAGAAGCCGCAAAAGTTGGTTCTTTTGCTGATCATTTCGTTATGGAGGGTAACACTTGGGGGTGGAGGGGGATGGGGATGAAGTTTTCTCCTCCTGCTGGGTGTGTGTCCAGCTGTAACACTGAGCACAGACAGTAGCTGATGTTGGCAGAGGGCTCGGTGCTTCCAGAGCTCAGGAACTGCAGACAGCATCCCAGGTGTTAGCCCAAAGGGGAGGACAAAAGCAAAACACTGATGCTATTGCTCTCTCTTCAAGCCCGAAGCAAAAGGTGATGATCGTGTCTTTGCTGCGGTCTTCTTCTCTCCTCCCAGGTGGCCTCCAGATTGAGAGCAGCGAGGAGACAGACCAGGGGAAGTACGAATGCGTGGCCAGCAACAGCGCTGGAGTGCGCTACTCCTCCCCTGCTAACCTTTACGTGAGAGGTAGGGAGCGCATCGGCTCACGCACTGCCAAATACCTCCCTCCCCACCCCTTCCTGTGTCCCCAGCTGCTTGGTTCCATCCTGTCCCGGAGGCAGGGGCAGCGCTGGGGGGGATCCTTGCAGCGTGCCGCTGCGCTCAGGGGCGTCCTGGTGCACCCCGACTTCTTCCTCCCCGTGGCGGGTGGCTCCAGCTACCACCCCAGAGCTGCAGAGCAGCAATTCAAGGCTGTGTCACCTGCAGCGACGCCAAATGTGACCCAAAACAGTGTGCCCAAGAGTCTGCCAGCATCAGCCTGCAGAGCCCAGAGGGCAATGAACAGGTTTGGCTGCAAAGAGGCCACAGTCCCCTCTGTCCCAAACGATCCCTGCTCTCTGGAAGTGGGAAGGTTTCAGTTCTACTGGTGTGGGTGTGAGAGGAGGGGAGGACCCTCTCAGCCCCCTCCACTGAGCTCTCAGTGCCCCTGGTCTCACCAGATTGCCACAGGAGGGTGCATTCTCACTTCTTGCCTAAGTCCCAGCTGGTTTTCCCTTTGCCGGCAGTAACTTGTCACTGGTTCCTTGGGCACAAATGCTGGCCTTGGGCACAGACTCCCAGAGAGCTGGAGAGGGCCAGCAGACAGCTCTGCCACAGTGCCAGATCCCTTCACCCATGTAGCTTGGGAACAGACAGCAGGGGGACAGGCTGCTGCTTGATGCCCCCTCAATGTTCTCACACCCAGTGGGGCGAGAGCTTTCTGCTTCCTTTGTTGGTTTATTTTAATCTCTCTGATCTGTACTATTTTGTGTGTAGATTTGGTTTAATATCTTTCCACAGCAAAACCCTTATGGTAATGAGAGAGCAGGGCTGGTCCTTCTCCCTCTTTTTAACAATACAAAAAGAAAAAACTACCATTGGGAGTTAAAAAGGAAAGTTACATCCCAGCAAACTGTTCCCATTCCATCCCATCGGCAGAGGAAGCGCCTCCCACCTACACTCACGTTAACTCTGCGGTCCCATGCAGAGCCATGCTCCTGTGTGCACTCCTTTCTCTCTCTCTTTCTCTCTCTCTCGTGTCTCACGCTCACTAAATCACATGCACATGGAGAGAAGGCTTTTCATAATTGAACGTTTCCAAGCTCCAGTTTTAAAATAGCCTTTTGTGGCCAGCTGGAAAATTGCATTTGGAATTTGCCCTCTCGCCTGGGCCCCAAAATTCTGCTGTTGGGAACGTCAATCTGGATCGGATGCTAAGTCAGGGCTAAACCCTTTGCAGACAGCTTAGCTGGAATGGTTTGGGATCTTTTTTGAAAGACAAAACCCAACAAAACCCCAACAAGAAGCAGGAAAAAAAAGTGGGGATTTTTCACTTTTGTGTCTAAATTTCCTCTACCTTTCTGGCCACTCGGAAACTACCCGGGAGACAAAGGTTGTAACCGTGGTGTTGCTTGTCTCCACACCTGGCTGAGAGTTGGCTCCAGGTGGATAGCCCTCTTTCTATCCAAGTTAGCCTGTGTGTTCCTGAGGCTGCCTGACAAACAAAGCCAGCATTAACCGGCCGAGAGAGTGCAGAAACCACCGTGTAAGCGAGCTCGGCCTGTGGTTTGGGTGTTTCTCATGCTGTTTAATTCCTTGTTTCTTGTGTGTTAATCCCGTGGAAAGGTAACAAATCTCTGAAATGGATTTGCTTTGGTGGGAGGGGAAAGTTCATGCACATTTTCCTTCCCGTTTTTTTTTCCTCTTTGTTTTAAAAGAGTCCTGAACACTCTTGTGTTTCCAATTGACTTGTTTCTCCCATAACATGCTTGTCTCTATAGAACACCTGGGATAGGAGTTGTAAGTTTGAACATTGCAAGGAAATGTTTTTGGTTTTTGGTTTGCTTTTCTTTTCTTCTTCTAATTATTTCTGGTTTTTTTTCCTTATTCAGTCCCATTGTGGAGGTAGCAGAAGCAGGGCCGGGCGCGGGGCTGGTGGGAGCACGGGCCAGGGGAGCGGTGGCCAACTTGGGACCTCCTTTGAGTTGGGGCTTCTCTGCCCGGGGCAGGTTCCTCTCCCCCTTCTCTAAAGAGCAGATGCACTTGAGGATGTGAGAATTCCTTTCTGGGGTTGGCACCTCTGCGGGGTGCTGGTCCTGCTCCAGGATTGCTCACAGCCTCGCCTGTACAGAGTTTGGTTGTTCTTAAAAGGTACCTAGCTGGATGGGAGGGGGAAGGTCAGGAAGGCAGGGAAGAGGGTCGTTACTATCTTCCTTTTTTTTTTCCTTTCTTTTTATTTTGGTTAAGAGAAAAAAAAAAATCAATCAATTTGCAGCTGACAGCCTTGAGAAGGCCTTTTTTTACTCTCTCTGTGTTTCCCCTATTTTTCTCTTCTCCTCATGTCATTGTGTTCCGCATCAAACCCCCTTAACATCCCTCAGAGCTACGAGAAGGTTGGTGTGGTTTTTTTCTTTTTTACTTTCTTTACCCACATTTTTACATTCTTAAGAGAAAAAAAAAACTAAAAAAAAAAAAAAAAAAAAAAAAAACCTAAAACTATTAAAAAAAAAAAAAAAAAAAAAAAAAAAAAAAAAACTAAAAATATTAAAAAAAAAAAAAAAAAGAAAGAGAAAAAACAAGAAATCTTTAAGATGAGCGAGACCCGCCGTTCCCGGGTCTCGCGGAGATGAGTTGAGTTGCATTGTGGGCCTCTCTATGCATCCTTTGGTAATGTTGCTGAGTTCTTGCACCTTTTTGTCGTCATGGTTACCTTGCCGTTTGGACATTGGGCCTGATGCATGATAGGAGAATGTAACAATCTTCTTTGCATGCCACTTTTTCAATTAATTCTGAATTCTTTTTTTCTCTCTATAAATAATGTATCGTTTTGGGTTTTTTTTCTTTTCCAGTTCTGGTTCCTTTAAAGTGGATTTACTCTTTTACTTTCTCAATTGGTTTCGTTCCGTTGGGTTTTTTGCTTTCTCTTTTGATTTCCTGTTTCTGTTTGGATTGGTTATGCTGTGCTGTAGTTGATTCCAAACGCATTGTGAGAAGCCAGTGTTCCTGCCCACCCGGTGGTAACTGAACTCCTCAATCCCTCCAGGAGGAAAGGAGTCACACAGCTCTAACGCCTGTCCATGGAAGCCCTGCTATTTGGGACAAGCCTTTGTTTTGGGGGGAGGGAGGGATCTGGGAAGTGGAAAAGATGGTAAGAAGCCAGGCTGTCGATCCAAGAGTTAGAGCAGAGCCTGGGTCCCGTTATTACTTACATATTTCGGGGCGGTGTGGCCCTTGTTCCACATCCTGCACACAGAGAGAAACCCTGATCCCTGCTCCCAAGGGCTTCCCCAGCGATGCAGAACTCGCTCACTGGTAACCAGCCACTTCCCTCTACTGATACCTGAGGCACCGTGCGGGAGCTGAGCTGCTGTCAGCCCGGGATGGGTAGAGGCACAGCTTCCTGCTGGGTTACTGCATCACAGTCACCTTTCCTTAGCACCCGTGGGTGCCTGGAGAGCCCTGTCTGCGGGCAGAGCCGTGTCCCATCATCAGAGCATGTAGGAAGGAAGATGATGCCTCATCCTTGCAGTGTTGGGAGGGAAGGGCAACCAGCCACCTGCAGAAGGATAGCTGGGTCTCCTGGCTCTGCCTCTCTCCATTTACCCTTTTCCTTCCCATCATTTAACCTTTATTACCTGGCTGTACAGGCACGTTGAAAACCAGCCTGGTCCAGAGGCAGTAGAACCCTCCTTTCTGAAGGAGTGGGGAAAGAGAACTGCAGCAGTGGTAGACTGAAGGAGGCTGCTGGGACGCATCTGGCAGCTGCATCTCTGTTGTAAACAGCAACAACAAAGCTGACAAGTTACATTCTAGCTGAAAATGCCTCTTTTCCCTCTTCTCATCTCCCTATTCATCCCCAGTCAGCTTCTGTTGCCTCCTATGTGTGCCTCCTGAGGGGGTGAGCCACATGGGCTAGGAAACAGGCGGGTTTTTTGCACTGTGTTAGTTGTACCATTGGTGCTTGGTGCTCTTGCCCTTTGCAGAATTGAATGCCCTTCCTTTCCCAGTTTATGCAGTTCCTTCTGCCCGTCAGTCCTCACTACTCAATAACCTACCCAAGGAGTGGCTTTCCTAGTGTACAGGTATTAAAGCTGTGTGATTTTTGAGAAATCCAGTGCAGTATTGACACAGTATCTGTCTCTCTCTTTCTCTATCTCTCTCTTTCTCTCTGTCTGTCCTTCTCTTTTTCTTAAAATGCTGAGATTTCAGTGCCCGGACCCTCAGTGCTGGTATTCTCCCCTCTTCCTTTCAAGTCTCTCCCCCTCTCCCCATAGAATCAAGGGTACCACTCCGAAATGCTGCACTGATGACAATGTCTTTCTGAAGCGGCCAGTTGTGGCTATTCTAACTTTGATGCCAACGAGAGCCAAAAGACACCCTCCAGCCCTATGCTCTATTTAAAGAAAAAGAAAAAAACACAAAAACCAAAAAAAAAGAAGAAAAAAAGGCTTGTTCTATTTAAAAAGAGCAAGAGAGAAAGCATAGTATTTGAAATGAGGTGTTCCCATCCCACCTCCCTCCTGCCTAGGACTAAAAGGTGATAATCACTACTAATTACAGGATTTTCCTTCATGAATAGGAGTTTGAGTTTCAGGCTTTAGGTGCAATTAAAAAGGGATTTATACACCATTGGTTTTTATTTGTTTATTTTCTCTTTTCTGAAGTATTTCTACCGTGTCCAAATTGCACTGCTGCTGCTAGAATCTCTGTGATCTGAGAAGGTTTTAACATGAAAGTCTTCCTTAAAAGCCAATAAAATAATAGTAATATCAACAACACTAAACTAAAGCTAAATTGGATGTAGTCCTGATAGGCTGGAATGACACTGGGCAGGGAAATAGAGACTTGATACCTGGCTAAAAGAGCTCATCTGGTTTGCTAGAAGTTATGGGCATGGTCTTGAAATTCTTGGTTGAGGGTTTGCCTTGTATGTTATTACCGATCCGATCATGCCATCCTCCAGAATAACAAACAATCTTGCCAACAGG